TGGAAAATGCAAAAATGCTCTCATATATAGTCAGTATGCACCATCGCGTTTGAGAGAAAGAGCGAAGAGGAAGAAGAGAGCCATGAGAAAGAGTGAAGAGGAAGAAGAGAGCCATGAAAAATAGCGAAGAGGAAGAAGATAGCCATGAGAACGAGCGAAGAGGAAGAACGCGAAGATAAAGAAGAGAGCCATGAGGAAGAGAGTGGAGAGGAAGAAGAGAACCATGAGAAAGAGCGAAAAGGAAGAAGAGAGCCATAAAAAAGAGCGAAGAGGACGAAGAGAGCCATGAAAAGGAGCGAAGAGGAAGAAGATAGCCACGAGAACGAGCGAAGAGGAAGAAAGCGAAGAGAAAGAAGAGAGCCATGAGGAAGAGAACGAAGAGGAAGAAGAGAGCTATGAGAAAGAGAGCGGAGAGAAAGAAGAGAGCCATGAGGAAGAGAGCGAAAAGAAGGAAGAAAGAGAGTCATGAGAAAGGAACGAGTGATACAGAGATTGAGTATGAATAGTGTGATTTTCTTGCTGCTACAATTTATATTATATTGATGATATGATGTGTCATTGAATTTCCTCGATCATAATATTTATTGTGGATAATTTCTATGGAAGAAACCACGTTGAAAGCACAGAGTATGCTACCTCAAAGCAGTGGCAAATCTGGGGTGGGCACAGGGACACGTGCCCCCCATTACTTTTTGAAATATCCAAAAATATAATAAATTTTTAGCTTGGTTTCTCATATCATTGCCTTTTTCAGGTAGAACTGTCGCATTTTGAATAAGGAAAGCAACTCCAGTTTCAGGTACTGCCTGAAAGAACATCTTCTGAACAAACAATAATACGCGGATATCTTGTAGGCAATAGCTGAAATATTTGTGGTATTCTTATGTTTATATCGATATCCGCCTCATCTCCCCTTTTTATTTGAATAAAATGTTGTACCTACTGTCAGAATTACAATTTGAGCTCTTAGTTCCTTTGGTTTTTTTATCTTTTTTACCTTTTTTTACTTTGTAAGGTGCAAGAAAAAGAATGTACTCTGTTCAATCTTGTATCCTACTGACAAATTTATATTTTTTCTCTGTATTGTAATATTGTTATTTCCACTGTCAATTAATTCATTTATACTCTGGATTGGGAACTGGACCCCTCTCAAAATAATTCTCTTGATCCGCCACTGCCTCATAGGTTATTGTAAAAAAATTACAATCTACAAACTTCATCGGCACCATTTTTCTTTAGCTCTCACTATTCAAGAGATACACGCAAAAACAAAAAAATCGTGACTTTTGACCTCGAATAAAAAACAACCAACTAGTGGGATCGATGTGGACTTTTGAGATTTCATTTATTATGACGTATTTGAGGTCTGTACAAAAATTCGGCTTGTTGAACAAGTTTGTAAACTATTCCCCTTTTTTCGTCTATTTTGTCTGGACTACATTGTGGAATCTTATCACGTAGGGTAGAACAAATCAACAGTAGGCACTTTCAATAAAAGTCCATAGGACCTGCAAGTGCCCGACAAAATCACTTATATCTATTATGTACATGTTTCCTACACAGTAATTGTATAGTCTACATCTATATCTACAATCTAGATATGTATATTTCACTATATGTATTATTCTGTCCTACAGTGCAATATATTTCGGGAAGTTTCAAGAATTATCTAGAATTTTACTGATCACAAATGAACTATCGAGCGTATTCATTTAACATCCATAACAAATTTTCTTGAGAGTATTCATTTTCCAGTTTTTCAGTTCTATGATTCTGTTAGATTTTTTGTTTATTATTGAAAGTTTGTGTTAGCTTTTCACTTGAACCGTTTACTGAACTCTAATATGTCTTTTTCACGTGTAGTATTGAACGTTTTTATACAGGGCGTTAGAATGAAAATTTGAGCCTTCTGTAACTCAGAAATGGATCCAAAACAATTAAAATTCCAGTTTCCTTTGGGTGATACATCGTTTGATATGTCTCTTGCATCTCAAACTGGTTTATTATTTACTGAAGAAAACGGTCGTTTAAAAAAACTAAACTGATAATTGTTTTTTTTTCTCTTTTCGAGAAAAATTAACAAAAAGCAGCAACAATTATGATCTTCACAGATTCCAGCATCATTATCAACAGACGATCCCGATCTGAATCCTTTGGATTTGATTTTAAAATAAGACTTAATGTTATTTCGAATAATATAACAGTCGATTTTGTTCCCATTGACGTTGTTTGTTGTTTCTCAATAAAAGAAGCAAGGGAAAATTAAGTTTTTTTCTCAAATTGAATTTTTTGATAGTAAGTGAATCACTTTTGGAAAACTAGAGAGGTAAACGGTACCGCAAGTGTATGGATATCATTTCAAAATTCCCCTCGTAGATTGACGTTTTGAGTCATAGTGTGGTCGACTTTTCGTTGTACACCCTGTATACCGTATAGCGGTTTCGTGTATTGACTACGTGTATGTGAAAACAAAATCCAAAATTTCTGATCACGTACATGGTGGTGTTATGATGTTCCTTTTTACGTTGAAATATTTTATTTTGCAATTAATATACACGGTATATTCCTGTTAGTAGGCAGGTGAGAAATTATGGAGTTGAAAATTTCTCTGACCCATATATAATTGAATATATAAATGAAATCATCGCTCGTCTATATAATTCATAGAACCCAGTTGCTATCTCAAAACATCACCGCTCAAGTTTATAGTGGTCAGTCGAATTCCAGTTAAAGCAACTAATATAACTTACATTTGTTGTCTTCCTTTTTTTATCAAAATTGTCATTGAAAAATCATCTGATTAAAATTGCTACGAATCGTTCAAATTGAGTATCTACTTTAAAACAATCCTATTTCGTTTTTTGTTTGGTGAAGTTGTATGAACTGCCCGTCTTGTATAAAACAGTAGATCAAAATCTATTCTTTAATAAAATGTTCATTATTGCTATCGTAGTGGGGGCCCTTTCTAATTTAAAAACCCTACGGCATTCTTCGAGAATACTAAATCCAGCCCCAGCTTGAATATCTGAATATGACCTACATAGTTTCCGGATTTGACACCTCTCGACTTGAGCGTAACAACTGAGTTTGATATTGTCGAAGGATGCCTTGAATGCTAAAACACACTATAATGGAAGTCGATATTGTTTGTTTTGTGCATATTTTTTGAACACCAATAGCGTATAATGTAATACCTCGGGTTCATTCAACAGAGATTCAATCTCCACAGGATTCTTACGTCATCTGAGACATGTTTGTTTTTTTAAAGGTTGTGTTGAATTTGTAACAGGTGCAATTGTAGGTTCATATTTTTGTCTAATACACCTGATTCAACTGTTTTTCAATTTCTACTTTACAATATGTATTAGACAAAAATTGTAAAATTGTTTGCCCGATGTTTCAGGTTTGGAAATAGAACCCGAGTATAAGAATATTATAGTAATATTACTTATTATTTATTGTTTAAATGTAGTTCAATTTGTGAAAATCATTACAATTTGTGCCACATATTTTCCATTGTTTTGAAACATTTTCGAGATTCATTTTTTTGAATCTGGTTCGACAAAGGAAACTAGCAAAATATGAGACACAAATTATCAAATAACAATCGATTTCTGTACCCATACTGAAAAAAGATCATTTTGGACAGTTCGGCAATATTAAAGAGGAAATATTATGAAGAAAGAATTTGATACTCGTATGAATTATGAAATGAAATAAAAGACCATTAACAAGAAATAATTTCGAAGTGACCGCTAAATTATTATGTGATAATAATAAAAACATTATTAACATATAAATATTTTCACTCGACTGGATTTATTCGAGTTCTCCACAGTTTATATAAGAAAATAAAGTTATATGAGTTTATACCAGGTGGTTGGGAAGTTGAAGTGAGATTATTTTAACAAAATCAAATCATTCAATAGAAAAGTTGATTTTTTGGAAGAAAATGATTTTTTAGACCAGATATTCTCGAAAGCAGATTATTTTCTTTTCTTTTCATGGATTTACAGACTTTTGAACTCATTTTCAGATGTTCTGGGTAACTTTTTTCATCCCTCAATTAGAAAAATATTTCAGACAAATAAAATGATCACTAATTAGACTTTTGTTTTTTGTCCAATCAAATTGTCATTCGATGAGTAAAGCTCTAAATTTCTGAAATATTCTCAGAATAGAACAGCTTCTCCAACTTCATAAAAAGAAGAGACAAAGGAATAGATCAATATTTTGACGTACTTTTTGGCAGATCAAACTCATCACTATGGCATCAGTGGAATTACTCATGAACGGTTGGTAGTAGTAGCTCTATATTTTTAAAATATTCTCAAAATAAAACAGACTCTCCAACTTCATAAAGAAAGAGACAAAGGAATAGCTCAATATTTTGACATACTTTTTGGCAGATCAAACTCATCACTATGGCATCAGTGGAATTACTCATGAACGGTTGGTAGTAGTAGCAGAAGGTAGTCAGATTGTGAAAAACTCATTATCCTCATCAGAAGGTGAAATGTCTAACAGTCTAACAAAATTTTAATGATTTTTCCAAAATAACTTCTGACTGTCTCATGATTGTTTCGATTTCAATGAAACAGGATTTGACGGTATAACAAGCAACAAATTGAATAATTATAAACTCATCACTATGGCATCAGTGGAATTACTCATGAACGGTTGGTAGTAGTAGCAGGAGGTAGTCAGATTGTGAAAAACTCATTATCCTCATCAGAAGGTGAAATGTTTAACAGTCTAACAAAATTTTAATGACTTTTCCAAAATAACTTCTGACTGTCTCATGATTGTTTCGATTTCAATGAAACAGGATTTGACGGTATACAACTTCTTCCATTGCCAAATTTATCAGGCCAGATATAGTCATCATCAAGATTCCTGTTAATCCCTCCAGTTCCTCGTCTAGGTCTGTTCAGCTAGGATGCTTGTGAATTTATCCACGCATCTTTTTCCATGTCGTGCCTTTGTCGGGGTCTATTATTAAAAAATCTGAATAGCAAGTTTCAACAAATGGCGTACCACAAGGTTCGATAATGGAACCGATGATTTTCTAGTAGTACATAAACGATTCAACATTTATCGATATAGAAGAAGAATTTACCTTTATGTAATCTTCATGGGAGATATAGAATTTAAACTGATACGACTTCAATCTGTGTCATTTAATCTCTCCAAAACAAAATTAATATCGTTCCGCATGCTATTAACAATGCAGACAAAATGATTACTTAAATTCGCCGATCACATTGTAACCCTCAATAAAAAGCTAGCTTCAGAGTGTTTTGCAGTGTGAATAACTTATAAGGAACTTTGTTTGTCTGCTGCTGAATAAGCTCATTTCTATCTAATTGATTCTCATTAAAAGTATGAAATGTCTTTCTGGGGAGTATGTTGCAAAACTCAATGATGTTTTCATTATACAAAAAAGATCTATAATATTCATGTGTAATGCCAAAAGTCGAGACACTTGCAAACCTTTGTTTGAACTTCATGAAATTTTGTTAGTCTTCGGAATCGTCATTCTAAAAACAGTCTGTTGGATTAACAAACATAAACTGAGATTTAGCGGCTACTCCAATACCTACTCGTAATTATGCCTTTCGTCGAGCTAATGATAATCACCAATACTAGCCTCTACTCTAGTCAAAGACTCCTTGTATTATAATAGTCTTATTATGTTCAATCATTCACCTGGACATACTGAAATTTCAGAGGATAACTGTAAGTTTCGGAAATCAGTAAAAGATTTATTACGTGGTACACCCTGTTATAGTTTAGAAGAGTTCTATGAGGACAGTTGTCTCTAATTTATTTTATCTTCTGTATTTTCAAAAATTATGTATTAGAAAAATTATGGTATTCTGCATTTTTGATATTTTGAACTTTTCTGGTATTGTTTCTTCAATTGTTATATCTCTCTTCAGTATCCGATATATCTCAACTCTGCATTTAAGCTATTTCAATATGATTTGTACTCTATATGTATGTATATGTGTTTATATATGAAGGAAAGAAGATATATACATAGAAAATCCTACACTTACTGGGAGTTCTTCTTCTGGCGAAATCCAAATATGGAAAGCAGTAAATTATATTAATTTAAAATGCCTCATACTTTTGTTGTATCACCTTATATGTAGGTATATATTTTTTTGAAGTTGTAACATTTTTCACTTACAAATCGATATTTATATCGATGAAATGACGAAAAGATCAAGCACTAGGATATCAATTTGGGTATTTTCACTCTTTATTCAAATACAATTTGTTGGACAAAAAAAATTTGAAATAAATGAATTGGAAAGAAAATTTTCGATTTTCAAGTTGCATTTCTATTCTTCACTTCCGAAAATATCTAAGGCAAATAAATCAGACAGTTTACTGGTTTTTGCAATGAAAAAATAACCGAACCACTTTTTCTGAATTTGCCTTACTTTGTTCATGCTGTGCAATTTTCCACGGCTGATTATTTGCTGTTTTCGAGTTCACCAGCAATAATCTGTAGGATTTTGTGTTCGACGTTTCGGCTTTGATAACGCCTTTGATAACGTCAGTCGCAGTTATAGGCGTAACTTCAGGTCCAAAAAACCAGTAGACAGCAAATAATCTGCTGCCTAACTATTTCTAAAACAACTTTTATCAACTCAAGGTTCTCAATAGAAAAAAAACTTATCTTCAGCAAAATTCAAAACCAAGTCCTCGACGATTTCTTTTTCAGTACGGGCACGGAGTTAACTCCACTATCATATACGCTATTCCCGTCAATATCATCGACCAGTGTTTAGATATCAGTACAATTTGCTACCTCACAAAAAGTTTGTGATGTTCTAGAAGGGACATACGATGTATTCGTATTCGAACATGAGGGACACGGCCACGAATACGAAGTAGAGCAAAAACATGGTGAAGCCCAGTCCTCTGTTCATCTTCCACCGGAAGCAAGCAATGGACATGATCACAAACACGAGCATCATGAAGAGGATGGTAATGGAGCACACCATACCGACTGAGTTTACCTCCACTGGCTTTCCGTAGATGACGCCGAACAACAACCAAGGCACTGGTAATCTGGAACAAAACGTTAGTTGAGAGGGATGATTGTTGGTGAAGTCTACTTAGATATATTTGGGAAAGCGTGACGATATGGAATCTGGAAATCAAGGACTTGGTAATGGTTTATTCTTGTACAATATTTTTAATTTATGTTACAAAATCGGACTTCCATTGTCTAAATGAGGTGTTGACAGATTTGAAATCCTTGGAAGAATAAATAAAATGGTTGGAATGTTAGAATTTTTGAGAATCAAGAGCTGTTGCGCTCGTATAACAATTTTCAATTGAAGGTAACTCATTTACAAATTGAACTGAGAGCTAACGGCAACAATGTTATATGTTAGAACTAAATTCTTACCGGGGTCATTTTTTATTTTCTATGCATCGCCATTGTGAATAATTGAAAAGTAAGAGGATTCCATAAAATTTGTCCCCCGTAACAAGATAGCTTCTGCATATCGATAGGATGTACGAGCGAATAGGTGAACCAGTTCGTTAAATACTTTGACACATCGGTAAACGGATCAACACTTCGTAGGTCTATTATATTTGCGTCCTCAAAATGCCATAACTAGTCACTCGGTTTCTTCATTATCAAGCGTCCTTATCTGCATAGGCGTAGTGTGTTCTGTTTCTTGTGAAGGTGACTTTGTTTTGTATTTATTAAATATATCCAACTCTCGAATCCATTAGGACAAAGGTAATGGATAATGATATCATTCCAAAAATGAGCAAAGAGAAGTTAAGGAAAATATTAAAAGAAGATTTAGAATTTATATATGGCAAACGATCCCGTAAATCTGTTTTAATAGAAAGAGAAGATATAGTTTCATGACGACGGAGATATCTTCGCTCTATTAGAGAAATGCGTTCTGCTCACAAAAAGATTTATTATCTGGACGAAACGTGGGTGAATACTGGTCACACAGTATCTAAGAGCTGGCAAGATACTACTGTAACTAGTTATCATCAAGCATTTGTGGACGGTTTATCAACAGGGTTACGCGGACCAACGGGTGAAGGGCAACGACTAGTTGTCGCCTATATAGGTAGCGAGAGTGGCTTTTCAGACGATAGTGCACAAATTTTTCAATCCAAAAAACCAGGGGATAATCCTTGGAAATTCACAAGCATAAACATTGCGGGTGCAACCTGTTAAACGATCAAATCGATTTAATTTACTCTCCGGTTTTTAAATTGGCACATCCGCATTGTGACCTGTAAATTCAGGTACTCGAATCAAGTACCTGAATTGTATATATTGGCGAATGTAATGAATCATTGTTAGTTTATTGTATTAGTTTGAGAATGTCCATATAGGACGAAACTGCAGTTACGTTGGTTGCAATTAAAAGTGGTAAAAATCATAGAAAAACAAATTGTAACCAACATACTTAGTAAACCTTTTAATCACAAATAGTAAAGTACATCATCATGATACTAGGTCGAACACCAATTTTCACATCCCAAGGACAAATTAACCACCAGTATGAACTCGTTATTTTTTAAATTTTTTGTGTTGTTTTGAATATCGAATCGTATAACTCTTAAAAAATCACCCGTTACAACAAACGGTGATCAATCAGTAGTATATATCGTTTGTTTGAAGGTGATTGACAATCTTTCATGATGAATTTCACTAGTTTGGACTTCCATTGTCGACTATATAAAATGATTTAAAATCCCTGAAACAACTAAAAAAAAGAATTGAAAATGAATAGCTGAGAATAACAATTATATTAACCAAAATAAACCTGAAATGAAATAANATGGTTCCATATTATGAAGGTGCCGTCTACATATCTCAACTAGACTCGAGGTTTCTTGTTGGCTTCTTCAATAGCCAGAGTTTCAAACCACTCCATATATATGTCGGCTATGACTGGTGAAAGTGGCGATCCCATTGGCCGTGCCTCATCCACTTTTTATTTTCAGTTTTTTTTTTCATTTCTTTATTTTTATTTATTCAATTGTTCCATTTTTACTTGTATTTTATTTTACTATCATTTCATTTCAGGTTTATTTTGGTTAATATAATTGTTATTTTCAGCTATTCATTTTCAATTCTTCTTTTTTAGTTGTTTCAGGGATTTTGAATCATTTTATATAGTAGACAATGGAAGTCCGAACTAGTGAAAGTAGTATATATCCTACTATAGTCAATTCCGCCAAGAACTCACACTCCGTTCTCAGTCATACTGAATGCATTTCAGATTCACCTTTCCCTTCTTCTCACACAACGAAAGCACTCAAAGTTCGAGCCTATCGCCACCCACACAACCCCCTCCCAGCGCAAAAACAAATTAGCAGTCGCCGAAGGAACTTTTTTCTTCCCGTTCAAGTATTGATCAGTAGAAAAACTCATGCCGACGTAGGGTCAAATCTGTTCGATCTCAACGCGACCTGAAGTAGGGCAAACAGATTACGGCACACGACCAGAGCACGAAAGGTGTGATATCTTTCATCGATTGCCTACACGAAAATGCCCTTACTCAGCTGTTTGCTCGCCTTGATGAGCCAGAGTGGATTCTGATGGGAAATCTGATTGAGGGTGCATGCCGCATTGAAACTTTTATAGGATTCGCAGTATGCGCTTCCGTGAGCGGGATTTGGATGCATAATAGATGGAGGAGGGGGGAAACGAGTGTCTTGCTGGAGTGAGTTTGAGGGGGAAACAAAGATATCACATTTCTATCTCAATACACAAAAACAGTTTGATCTGAAATGACAGTGAACAAATAACTCTCCTATCCAAAAGAAAAATGGACGACGGTGATAACCACCTCAGAAATGTTCTCGAAATCAACTAAATTGAATCAAACCGCGAATACTTTCAAAACCTAATATCACTTCTCTCAACAGTGACTTGAAATATCTCAATATTTCAATTTACTCTAAAACTTCCTCTAGAATTTCTAGCTATAGTAAGAAATTCAACTGGATTCACCAAATCTCTACGCACGACTGCCTATACCCTAATTTAACTAAACTGCGAATATTTATCCATCCCGAAACACCTCACAAAACGGCGACCTGAACTATCTCGTATTTCAGTACCACCAGAATTTACTTAGAACTTCGTAGGAAGTTCAGAGAGGTATTTCATATCAAAGAAAACAATTGAATAGATCATTACCAACACTACGAAATTAAGGTACCAACGCAATATTCCCTAGCAAATTCAAAACATAGTATTTCGAAAAGGCATTGAATATAAAAAGTAGTTTATTTCACTGAGAAGTTACGATCTTCAAGAATATTATTTCTTGATTCACAGAGCGAATCCCCATTTTGTATACATGACGAGTAGATCCTAGGCTGCGTTGGGAAAAATGTATGAGTTTCAGAAAAAAAAATTATTTGGTTAACAATCCGTTTTTTGATGCATAGATTTTGTTCGATGGAAAGAAATATTACAACTTAAAAAAAAAGACTTCCTTATGTATCTATACACCACTATACGTAATAATAGACGGTCCATAACTTAACTGAGTACCTGAATTTTGTTTACCTGTGACAATGTTGGTACGTCAATCTGAAAACCGGCGAATGCTGAATGATCGATTTGGTCATTTAGCATACGAATAAAACCTGCTCACTCATAATTGCTTATTCGTAATTTTTTAGCTAAAAACAACACTGTAATCATGTCCCAGCCACCGTATTCACCAGATTTGGCCTCCTGTGACTTTTTTCTGTTCCCAAGTTCAAAGAGAACTGCTTCGAGTGTATTATAGTGTATTGTATCTGAGGAGGAACTACTTTGAAGGAGACAGAATAGAATATTTGAAATGAATATGAATATTTGTTGAGAAAAATGAAAAACCACCTCATTTTTTGAACGGACCTCTGCCGACACTACGAACGGTCGACCATACTGTGAGGACTTCATCTACTGATCTGTCTTTGACCCAGAATGTAAACGAGTGCTTGCTGATGATATCACAACTCACAAATGCAAGATTCCTCGGCGCCCAAAGAGTATCCAGAGCGAAAACGACTTTATCCAGTAATTCAGAACAGCAGTTCCTTCTCAAAGGCTTGAAGTAACGAGACACTCATTTCTTTTGTAACATGAGGATTATGATCAGCCCAAAAATGTTTATTCCTTCTATTGAAAATACCATTCCTCGTAAATTTTGATTCGTCGCTCCAATAGTCAATATTTAATGAAAAATAATATACCCAAGTTATTATAACTTTCCCAGGATTGCAACCTTGAGTATAGTTGAAAAAACTATTAACGCATTTTTGAGATATGCCAGTGACAGAGAAGGAGAAAGAACGAAATGGGAAACTGGCTCAACAGCCATTCTCCAGTTTTGTTTTTTCACCTTTGAGAAATTGGTATGGCCGCCTTTCTCGTCAGATATTTTTCCACTGTCATAACCTATCAAATCTGCCTTATAAAGTACAAACCTATTATCCAGAGAAACTTCAATCCACACAGCAAGTTGCCACACAAACTTCGTTGCACAATAAAGCGATGAGACAAAAAACACGTGCTCTTTCAAACTTCCTCTAACTACATTATCATTCGAGCGGCAACTTTATGAACTTTATAACTCTTTAAAACATTCCCTACATAATTCATAATCATTTCGAGACACAGTAGCCTTATCTAGCCAGAATTAACTCGCAGTTACGTCCCATTACCTTTTTCCGCGAAGTAAGTTGATAAAGTAAAGGTTAATACTGTTAGCCGAAGGAAAATGTACCGTTTGCGATGAGTGCAAGAGCTCTGGCCTCAAGGAAAATCCAATTTATTAATTGAGAAAAGTGGTGGACAGTATGTTGGAATTCTGTATCCGAAATTTCTAGGAATAAAATTATTTGCCAGTATTCAAAATCAGAGTCGATTCACATTGATCTCGTTACGCTACAGAGTTTTTTCATAAACTACAATTCAAATTGCTAATGATCTATGACAGATAATTCAAACGGTCGATCAACCATATTTGACTATGTCTGTCTACTATTGACAGCTCATGGTTGTCCGTGGTGCTGGCTTATCA